AATTTCCCAACTCTAGGCCTGGTGCTGTATCCACTGGGCTACCTAACTCCCTTCAAGTTTATTTGCATAATTCTTTCCAGAATGATTGGACTTATTTTACAGCTCCTTCAGCAATAATCAGTATGCCTGTCTTCCACAGCCCTTTCATCACTAATTATCTTTTGTCAGTTTATTGGTTGTGACGTGAAACCTCAATATTGTTTAAATTTACATCCTCTTATTTAGAACACTTTTTTCTCATGGTTGTTAGTAGTTTAAGGTTTTTTCATTTGAGAACAATCTGTTCATTCAAGTAACAACAAAAAAAAGTCACCACTACTAGATTGTAGGGTATGTAAAGGGTAAGAAGACTGGAAAGGTAGGAAAGGGCCAGATTGGTAAGGTCACCAGGTTTACCAGGTTGGTAAATGCCAAACTGACGATATTATATTTGATCCTGGAGGTAACAGGGAGCCACTGGAGTTTATTTAATGGGGATGGTGTGAGGGATGGGTTGATATGGTCAGACTTTTAACTTTATAGGAAGCTTACTTTGACAAATGAATGGAAAATGGACTGGAATGAAGAGACATTTGAAACTGGGAGACTCAGCATCAGGCCCTTGCAGTCATTCAAATGTTAAGGGATGAGGGCTTGCACCAGGATGGCAGTGTCAGAGGAGAGAAGGGGATGAATGTGAAATGTTATGAAAGGAAAATTGACAGGTCTTGACTATAGATTGGATATGGAAGGATAGGGTGAGAGAAAGTGAGGAGTTGAAGATGATACATAGGTCTTGAGCTTGGTTACCTTACTAGGAATATGGTAGTGTTAGTCTTCTTGTGCTTTTTTTACTCCTCTCCACATACTCCATAATCCTTGATAGTAATAAGGGCGACTAGGTGGCATGGTGGATAGAGCAAGGGCCTAGAGTCAGAAAGACTCCTCTTTCTAAGTTCAAATCTGGCCTCAGACCTGCTGTGTGACCCTAGGCAAGTCACTTCACCCTGCTTGCTTCAGTTTCCTCATCTGTAAATGAGCTGGAGAAGGAAATGGCAAACCATTGCAGCGTCTCTGCCAAGAAAACTCCAAATGAGATCACAAAGAGTTGGACGTGGCTGAAATGACTGAACAACAACAATTTGATATTAATACAGAAATTAGGAATAAGGGAAGGTTTGGGGAGAAAGATAAGGAGTTCAGTTTTGGGTATGTTGATTTGAGGTATCTACGGGACATCCAGTTCAAGATGTTTAATAGGCAGTTTAAGATGTAGGACTAGAGATCAAGAAAGATCTTGGAGTAAAATCTGAGATCTGATAATAATCAACATAGAGATGATCATTGAATTCATAGGAGCTGATATGATAATCAAGTAAGATAGTATAGAGGAGGAAGAGGAAAGTGTCCAGCCCAGAGCCTTTGGGGATACTCATCATTAGTAGGTAGAGATCTAGGAAAAGAGACTGAGAAGGAGAGGTCCAGCAGGTCAGAGGAGTACCAAGAGAGAGCAGTGTCATGGTTTTTTTTTTGGCAATTGGAGTTAAGTGATTTGCCCAGGGTCACACAGCTAGTAAGTGTAAGTGTTTGGTCTGAGGCCGGATTTGAACTCAGATTCTCCTGACTTCAGGGCCGGTGCTCTATCCACTGTGCCACCCAGCTGCCCCAGAGAGCAGTGTCATGAAAGCTTATATAAGAGTATATCAAGGAGAAGAAGGTGATCAGTAGTGTCAAAGGCTACAGAAAGATGAGGTTCAGAAAAGACCATCAGATTTGGCACTTAAAAGATGATTGGTAACATTGAAGAGTACAGTGTCACTTGAATGATGAGGTCAGAAGCCAGACTGCAGAGAGTTTAGAAGAGAATGAGAGGAAAGGAGGTGGAGGTACTGGTTAAGAATTCATCTCTTGCCCATCGCCATAAAAAGTATATGATCTACTTCTCTTCTAATTTTTTACAGCATGATCTTTAATATTCATACCATGTATCCATTTTGAATTGTAGTATATGCAGTAAAATGTTGGTCTAGATTACCTTTCTAAAAGTTTTTTTTAATGAACCTAATACATGAAAAATATACAATATTTTTGTATACTTATCATACTGCTTTATAAAAACAATACTTTTTTATTTCATAGTTATTTCAATACCTTCGTGCTTCAAGATTGAACGTTTCCTTATAGCAAAGAAAAATAATTAAGCAAAAACATTCCATACAGCGATAAATTTTTCATTCATTTATTTATTTATTTTTGGTAATTGGGGTTAAGTGACTTGCCCAGGGTCACACAGCTAGTGTCTGAGGGCAGTTTTGAACTCAGGTCGGCCTAGTGCTGGTGCTGTATCCACTGTGCCACCTAGCTGCCCCTATAGCTATCATTTTTTGACAGTGTATATAATACTATGTTCTCATAGTCCAGTGCCTCTTTATTGTGAGTAGTGAGGTGTGTTAGTCATTGTGTATATTATTTTGATTGTGTTATTTCTTCTTATATCATACAGATACTTCCATATTTCTCTGAATTTCTCATTTATCATTTCTGATACTTCATTTCTTATACTTCTGTACAATAATGTTCCATTACATTCACATACCATAGTTTTTCCATCCAGTTCTTAGTTATTGGGAACCCACATTGTTTGTAGTTCTTTACTACCACCAAGAATATAACCAGGAATATCTTGGTATATATTATACAGGTCCACATATGTTACTTCCTACAGTAAACTCCATTGACTCCCTTTCATGTCCAGGATCAAATAAAAATCCTCTGACATTTAAAGCCCTTTATCACCTAACTATCTCCTACTTTTCTACTCTTCTTACACCTTATTCCCTGTTATTTAATGTTCAAACCAATGACACTGGCCTTATTGCTGTTTCATAAACAACACGATTCATTTCTTGGCTCCAGGAATATTTTTTCTGGCTGTCCTCGATTCTTGGAATGTTCTCCCTCCTCAACTCCTTGACTTTCTTTAAGTCCCAGCTAAAATCCCACATTTTACCTTTACCTTTCCCATTCCCTTTGCATTGCCCCTTTTAATTCTGGTGCCTTTCCCCCTTTTATTATTTCCTATGTATCTTGTATGTAGCTTGCTTTTTATATATTTGTTTGTAAGGTGTCTCTCCAATTCATCTGTAAGCTCCTTGAATGCAGGAACTGTCTTTTGTCTCTTTTTGTAATCCCTAGAGCTTTGCACAGTGCTTGACACATAGTAGGCACTTAATAAAATGTTTATTGACTGACTGTATTGGACCTTTGTTTCTATTTTTGTTTTCCTTGGGGTTTTCCCCATTAGTGGGATCCCTGGGTCAAAGGAGGTATGGAGAATTTGTCTCTTTTCTTGTATAATTCCAAATTGAAATCTAGAACATTGAGTCACTATCTTCCCCAGCATTAATTTTTCCTATATTTTGTCATTTTATAGATTGCCTAGTATGAGATAAAATTCCAGAGTTGCTTAAATTTGCATTTCTCTTATTCTCAGTGATTTGGAGCACTTGTTTTCTTGTGGCAATACATCTTTTGAGAACCTTTCCTTATTATTTCCTTATTTATATATTGGAAATATCTTTACATGTTTATATTAATTGCCTATTATTTTAGATACCAGCTTTGTCATTCTACTTTCATGAGCTTCCTTCTTGTTCTTTTGACTCACCTTTTAAACACCACCACCACTGTCCCCCTCCTCATTCTTTGTTATAACTTTTGTCCAAATTGAATACCCCTGGAAATGCATTGATTTACAAGGTTGAAGTGTTTCTTTTTTAATCTTTCCTTTTCTTCTAGTTCCAAAATATCCTTTCCCCTTCATTAGTTGAAATACTCTTTCTCTTTACCCTGGCTATTTCTTTTTATTGTTTGTCTTCTTTTAAGACCTACGTTTATTAATTGTATCAGCCACTCAACTTGGCCTCTTTAGGACATACCTTCCTTTAGTTTTTTCTTAAACATAGCAGGAGCTTTATTCTGCTTGAGTACTTCATTCTTCCGTCTTTGCTCTTGGAGTTGTTGCCTAGTAATAAAAGATAATTGGCTTCTCCTCCCGAGCTCTAGATAGGAATAAAGTATAGCCTTTTTCATTATTTGTAGTTTATTTCCCTGCTACTCTGTCTTGTATATTGTAGAGGAAACCCCTTTATGTTACAGAGATATAGATATACAAAATATATTTATTTCTTCTTTTTTTAATATATAGGACTTGAAGTGATATGCTTGAATTAGTACAGACCAGATAGGCTCAAATTAACAATTCAGAAGTTTTAGACATTAGAGAATATCTTGAGACAAACTGACTTTGTTGAATCAAAGGAAAGAAATTTGATTTTTTGTATAGAAAACTTTTGGAAAGAACTTATCCTTGTTCCCCAAAGGTGGTAATTTTTAATAAATCCAGACAAAGAATATTAAAGTTGCAGGAAGGCCAAGAAAGAAATATGCATTTTTTTCCTTTCTAGAAACTTTGGTTTTACTAAAAAAAAAAAAATTCAGATTGTAGGCTTGAAAGCTTCAAATTTAAGCTCTAAAAATCTTTTGAATTTCAGAATTGAAGAAATATTCAATCACTCACCAGTAACAAGTCTAGAGAGGTAGTATAGACATTTCTTTCAACTCCAGGCTCCTAAAGATGTTTTTAACCAACCCTAGAAAATGCTTCCCATTTGATTGCTTAGTAAAGATACAGATTAGAATATACTGAGTTTATGAGAAATTTGTGTTTTGTTAGACTGACATTTGACCATTTAATTTTATTTTTCGCCTCAATGAGAGAAATTATATTTTAAAAGAACTTGTAATGAAAAGTTCTAAGAATCCTTGAAGCTAACTCCTCTTTGCTTATTCCACTGATCTGGTGGTACCCCGTTAGTCTAGTGTCAATCTGCTGATAACATGGTTGGGTCACGACCCCAAATGTCTGTATCTGTGTATTTATAGACTTTGATATAGCAAGTTATATAAATGAGTGACATTTTCCTTTCTTGTTTTTCAGTAATTTTTTTTCCTCCTTCCAGGTCCACTCCATGCCCCAGTGTAAAACATGGAGATGAATGGGGGGAACCTTCAAAATGTGAAAGTGGGGATAACTGTCAGTATTGTCATTCTCGTACTGAACAACAATTTCACCCTGAGGTAAGAGTTGTGCTATTTCAATCTGATGTTAAAAAATTGGAGAAGTAATGTGATGTAGTATCTTCCAGTTTTTCTTTAAAAACTCTTAAAGTTTTTTTTTTTTTTTTTTTTTTTTGAGGCAGTTGAGGTTAAGTGACTTGCCTAGGGTCACACAGCTGGTGTCAAGTGTCTGAGGTCAGATTTGAACTTGGGGCCTCCTGACTCTAGGGCCAGTGCTCTATCCGCTGTGCCACCTAGCTGCCTCAAAATTCTTACTAAAGTTTTGAGGAAAAATGAATTTGCCTCTGCTACTTTTGCTGATTTATGAACCCGTAATGCTTATAATCTTCCACCATCTTACTTTGTAAGTTTTTTGCAAATGATTTTATGTTCTAATTCAGTATTGATCTTTGTTTTCATTTATATCTGGCAAAGAGTTGAATTTCTAGGTAAAATTTTAGGGTTTTTTTTACTTCCTTGATGTGATAATTGCTTTACATCTGAAGTCATAGGAATATTCCATATTGATGTCTGCACATTTATTCATTTCCCTTTTTTTCCCATGTCAGTAGCTTCTTTAATTAGGTCAGGGTGATCAGGCATGGTGGCACATGTCTGTACTCTTTGCTACAGGGGAGACTTCAGCTGGCAGATCTCTTGAGCTCTGAGTTCTGAGCTGTAGTAGGCTAAAGCCAATCAGGTATCTATATTAAATTTGGTATTAACTCCCTAAAGTAGGGGGTTCTTGTCCTGATCAGAGTGTGACCATGCCTGTAAGTGGCCACTTCATTTCCAGTGTGGATAAGTTAGGGAGACCCAGCCTTAGAAATAATTAACTAAAAATAGGTCAGGTTGGAGCTATTTTAATTGCATGGCATATTTTCTCATTTTTGTCCTTTTTTCTAGTTTGGTGTAAATTTTGATGTTGGCTCAAATACATGATCTGAGTATGCAAAGATAGGTGAATTGGAAATGACTCCTATGTAGGAAACTAGTTGTTTCCTATCTGTTAAGATATAGTCAATTTTTTTCGTAATAGTATTTTATATTCTCCTTGACCAGTGCCTTCCTGCTGTCTTCTTGAAGAAAGTATGCGTGATGTGTAGGTGAAACTTCTGTGTATTCTATATGGCTTTGCCCTCTTTTGTTCCTTAATCTTAAATTTTTTGACTGCCTTTCTTAATACCTACTCTTGCATTGATGTCACCAAGTTTTTAAAATATATATAGATTTAATTTGGAAAGGCTTATTAAGTTCTTTGTAGAATTTTTTTTTACCCTTTTGTAAAAATGAGAAGAAATTTAGGATGATGGCTTGAAGAGATAGTAGGATCAAATGAAGGAAGACAGCAGGGAAGATATTAGAGGATGAGCAAGAGAAGGGATGATTAAAGGCACAAGCTCCTAGAGGAAAGATAAGAAGAGATTGGATTAAAGGAACAAGTAGTTGGGTTGACCCTAGCAAGGAAGAAGGAAGGCCTTTTCTACCTTGGAAACTGATGCAAAGAAGAAAAAAATGAGGGACAATGTAGAATAGTGTTGAGCTGTAGTATAGGGGAGAAGGAGCTTATGGCACTTGACCTTGATTTTCTCAATAAAGTAGAAGATAAGTCCTTTGTGTAAAGAGAGATTTAGCATTAGAGGTTTGAAGAAGAGAATGTTTAGAAGGTTTAAGGAAGGTGGTTGTCAGGGAAGAATAAAAAGATTTCCATTTAACAGTCGGATTAGGTAAAACAAATTTGTAGTGAATCTAGTTGGCATGGTTGTCTGACTCTTAGTAATATTCTTAAGATGAGAATTAGAACAGAAAAGACAAGTGATGAGGTTGACCTAGGTTTGGAATCTGTCAAGGCATGAGGAGTCACAGAACATAATGGCAAGAGTGAAAGACCACATACTGGTTGCACTGGTCAGTTATGGCCTCCAAGGTCCCTTCCAGCCCAGACTTTTGATCCTGTGACTATGAAGAAGGGAAGGTGAAGCCAGAGCAAACTTTCAGAGACTATTCAGCAAGATATTGAAAATCATACCTGTTTCACTATAAGCAAAAATAATTGTATTTCAGCATTGTTTAATAATGACCCAGTGCTAGTTATCTGTACTTGGGGATAGAGATGAAACAATTATACTGATGGATGAGGAATTCCTTGCTATCGTGTTGCATATGGCACAAGACAACAGGCAGGCCAGGACTGGAAGCCTAGTGAAGGAAGATAGGTTTTATAGATGCCACACCTCCAATCAGAAAAAGGGTGAAGTCCAGTGTTTCAGTTAGTAAGGAGAGAAAAAAGTGAGCATTATAAATTTTGGAGAATAGAATGTAATCCAGCAAAAACAGGAAGGAGTAAGTCAGTCAGTGAATGGTGCTAACAGAATTATGACTTCTGATCCTCTAGTACAGGCTGTTTGCTCTCTACTTTGATTTTATGTTTTTTGCTAGGGGTATATATTTTGAGGAGATGGAGCATGAGGATTTCTTTGTATCTCTACTACCATGTTTAACATGTAGTAAGTGATAAATAAAGGATTGTTCATTGATTGACTGACTTCGATCCATGAATTAATGATGGGCAGAATAAGACAGAACCAAAAAAGTTAGACTTACTGTACAAGTACTTGAGAAGTTGGAAAAGTACAATGAGAAGCATACTGGATTTGGAATTATGGCCTGGAATTATGACATTTCACCTTTTCCCTTGCTATATGTGTGACTTTGGCAATCTACTTGACAACTCTAAGACTCAGTTTCCTCTTGGTAAAAGGAGGAAGAGTTGGAGTAGATGAACTCAAAGACCACTTGCAGTTTTAAAGGTGTAAGTTTTTGAAACCATACTACAGAGAGTATTTAAAGGTGGAATGGATGTTAAAATCTGACCAGGTATTGAGAAACTTGGCTTGTCCAGTTTGCTGCATAACCTGTAGCAGCATTCATTTGTCAGTGAGAAAGGCTACATATTATTATAATTTAATATTTATTATGAGAGAGAATTTATGGTTGGAATCTTTTTACCAGATGAGAGTTTTACCATTATATCTTACATAGCTATAAAAAATGCCCAAGGATTATAGCTTAAAAGCTATGGATCATTCACTGGAATTCACAAAAGAGTAGATTGTTGAGCCAAAAATAATATGCTATTAGAATTATGGTTACCTTTTCCTTTGACTTATCTATATTTCAGATATGTTAATAAGCAATTTTTATCTTAAAACTAATTAATCTGACTAAAATATTTAAGTGAATAATTATTCTTGCTAAGCAGAATAGTTTGATATAGCTCTTGAGTTGCAAATATATGGAAGACATTTGACTAAGCAGATGATATTTGCATATTTTGTTGGAGAAGCTGAAGGCAGCAAAATTCAAATTGTTTTTTAAAAAAGAAAATAAAACTGTGGTAGTATAAGGAAGAGAATTTCAGAAACATAGTAATAACATAATATAGACCAGGGGTGGGGAACCTGCAGCCTCAAGGCCATATGTGGCCTTTTAGGTCTTTGTGTGCATCCTTTTGACTGAGTCCAAGTTGGATTCAGTCAAAGGGCTACACTTGAGGACCTAGAGGGCCATATGTGGCCTTGAGGCTACTGGTTCCCCACCCCTGATGTAGACTATATTACATTTGAAGATTATTTTTCATAAAATTATTTCTAAGAAATGTTATCCTGTACTTTATTTAGTGAATTGATCAAATGTATTCAATTTTTTTCCCCTAGATTTATAAATCTACAAAGTGCAATGATATGCGACAAACTGGGTACTGCCCTCGGGGTCCATTTTGTGCTTTTGCACATGTTGAAAGTAAGTAAGCAAAAACTAGAATTTTTAATATTAATCAAGATTATGCAATTTTAGCCCAGTGGTTTCAAATATAGCAGGAATAATACCTCTCCAAAATAACTTTCCCTTGATTTTAAAAGATGTCTTATCTCTGTTAGTTGAAGAGCAGCCTGGCAAAGCTGATAACTGACCTTGGCATAAAGAAGATCTGGGTTAGAGGCCAGTTTCTACCCATACTGGTTGTGTGACCCCAGGCAGCTCACTTAATCTCTCAGTGCCCAATACAGCTCTGTCAGACTGTGATGTAGAGCACAGGTGCCTTATCTATATTGGTGGAAGAAATTTTCTCATCAGAGAGTGCCCTATACTCATAAAATCATAAGCTAGTATTTTAAAATTAACTATATATAACTTTTATTTTCTTAGTTCCAAACCATTTTGAGAAAGTTCTCTTTGCCGTTTTTTTTTTTTTTGGCTAGGCAATGGGGTTAAGTGACTTGCCCAGGGTCACACAGCTAGTAAGTGTTATGTGTCTGAGGCCGGATTTGAACTCAGGTCCTCCTGAATCCAGGGCCAGTGATCTATCCACTGTGCCACTTAGCTGCCCCTGCCATTTATTTTCTATAAAGTACATCCCATGAGAGCCATAGCAAAGAAGGTTGTTGAAAATGTATCTATAGTCATTCTGAGGAAAAACAATAAGATTGTTAAGATTCAGTCAAATAACTTGGTTCATTCCATCAGTCACATGCTGGTCTTAGGAGAGAGAAGCTGTGGCCCAACTTTGTCACATATATGTGATTCAAGTTGGTTATCTTCTCTATATTCTACACTCAAATAATGGATCAGTTCTAGGATAATCTTTAGAGTTAAGTATAGTTCCCACAGCAGTATGAAAATGAACTCTCTGACACACACAGCTACTTGGAAATCCTCCAGATCACTCCCAGGACTAATCTGAGCCTCTTTGGTCTGGGTGGGCCCCTTTCATCCATCATCTACCCTCATTCCTACTGTGCTATCTCCTACTCCCTTGGATATAGGGCTGGGTTTCTGGATAGTCTTCACTTTGTATCTTTTGTGTGGTGACCATTGTGTGCTGCCTGGATGATTTACTCTATAACCATCTTTTTGCCCTTTGCAGATAATAAAATAAAAAGGACTCCTTAAGCCAATAAAGAGATTTCTTAAAACTGCAGGTTGACTCTGACTAAGCTAGAGAGTGAAGACAACTTTTGATTCACCTTTTTATGGGGAGGACTTAATGGCAGTCTAATAAACATTTGCATTCTCAAAAAAGAAAACTTTTTAATAATGCTACATTTGATACCAGAGTCCACAAAAATCAATAAATAACAGAAAAACTACTGAATTTAAGTTTGAGGGATTTTTTCATTTGGGAGTAAAGAATTTCTTATTCCTTATAATTCAGATATTTCAGTAGTAATATTAGTTCAGTAAAAGATCAATATAACTGTAGGCTAGAGCTTGCCAAATAATAAATTTGTAACTTAGAAAATCTCATTTTGTTTGCTGCAGCTGCTAAATTATGATGGTGTTATCATCATGAAACCATAGTAAGCCAGAATGCTTCTGTTTGTTTGTTTTTTAAAATTATTGTTATTATTATCATTGGGGTTTTTTCTTTTCTTTCTTTTTTTTTTTTTTTTTTTTTTGAGATTGAGTCTCCTTATCTCACTCAGGCTGGAAGTGCAGCAACCACTTGTGGGCACTATCCCAATACTAATCAGCATGGCACTTGGGCTAGTTCACCCTTGGCTTAGGCAGATTGGTGGCTCTTTACTACTGTGGATTCAGTATATTGGTGCTGAACTTAGTGCAGATAACTGGTTGGCATTAACCTTGCTGCAGCATGGAACTCTCCATCTCAAGATAACCTGCCTCAGAAGCAGGGATTTCAGGCATGTGTGCTCTACTACCATGTGCTGCCAGCATGCTTTTGGCAAATGTTATAATTAGCTTCCTCTTAGCTTAATTATGTAAGACTTTAAATCATCCTAATTACCCAAATAAGTAGAAAACATAAATAATTATACATTATTTTAATATGTGATGCACACACATTGATGCTAGCACTTGGCCATCTGCATTATATGGAAATAATGAATAGACTTTTTTTCCCTCAGATGTTGCTATTGAAAACAGATGAGTTTATTAGACTATGCTATCATTGAAAATATATTAGTTCCATAGATCAATGCTAACATGAATGTTAGCATGGCCATTGTGGTGGTAGGAGTTTTCTTTTCTTTTTAGTCCTAGTTTTAGAGGAGCTATAATTTTGAAATTTCAGAATCAGACCCAACATTGGCCTGTTTTCATCTTAGCAGAAAGTATGCTTATATTTTTAGATATATTGTATGTTGTAATTAAAGACTGTGAATCTACAGAAATCATGGATTCTGGTTCTTAAATATTTTTGTTACCTTTTTTAATAAGAAAAAAGATAAAAAATATTCTTAAAGAAGTTATTTATCTATGCTAGATATTTTTGTTCCCTGTCTGTGGCATTGTTTAGAAAAATGTTGTTTAAATGGTGAGACGTACTATCTTACTCCCTGATTTATTGGAATTTCCTTCAACAGAGGATACCATGAATGTAGTTATGATACAAAACAGTGGTCAGTCAAAGCCTGGTGCTCACATGTTCTCAGCAGAGAGTATAGGAATCACAAATGACTGGAACTGCCATGATCCAAATGCCACAAACAACATTACAAGTAATAATGGGCAGCCTGGAAATGTAAGTACCTGTAAATGTATTTTCTGCAACTAGTAGAATTTCAACTGATTTGATCTTTTATTTTAATATGTGAAAAGTAGAGAAGAACATATATTTGTCTACACATATACATGACATGGGTGTGCTTGCATACATACAAACATACATGTATGTATATGCTATGTGCATAGCTTGGTATGACCCCAGGAACATATCTTCCTGGTACAAAACATTCTTCTTTCGTATCATCCCAGTTTATATACATGTATTTGGTCTTGGACCTAGCAGTTTGGCAGCCTCAAAAAACAGGTGCTTGGAAGTCTCCTCGCGCTTCCCTCTTAAGTGGTCATAAGGAACCAGGGAGTGGAAGAATTGTTGCAACTGGATTGTCTCTAACCTGCATCCTACCCTCTCACACCTGTGGTCCTGGTTATCAGAAGAGGGAAGAAGTCTTAGGCAGAACTTCTTGTTGGTATATGATAAAGGAATAGTTTTTTCAGCCTCTAATATCCTCCTCAACCTACTGAGCCTACTCAATCTTAATTGTTCTATTTTCTAATTATCATTATTAGCCAAACTTAGTCTGCTCACCTCTTTCTCTTTCTCTGTCTCTCTCTCTCTCTCTCTCTCTCTCACACACACACACACACACACACACACACACACACATTTTCTAGGCTCTGCTTTGTAAATCAGCTGGTGCCCAATTCATACATGATCATTACATACTGCTTATAGGAAAGATACATGTATATATACTGATTGTCAGAGGTAACTGTTTTGTGTTCTTATGCATACATACTCACAAATATATATGAGCTGAGAGGGCTAAGTTTGGTTAACAAATGAAATGTGATAGAAATACATACATATGTATATACAGATACATGTATAATATGTATGAACAGAACAGTCTATCAATCATTTCAGCTATGGAGTGGAGGATGATGATGGTCACATCCTATCCTCAGTGACTAAAAATTCAGAGCCCCTGTTTTCAGTGCATGCAGGCAGAATTGAAACAGCAGGTATCTTGTTCTTCAGGTATTCTCAGGTGTTTCTATGTACCTTACCTAGCTCCTAAATGTTTTCAAGGATGACAGATGATATTTGCTATCTATATTTGGTGCGGCGGAGTGAGAGGAGGGTATAAGAAAAGTTTGTGCATGGTGCTTTTCTGTATTCATTTAATTTTGATTTTACTTATTTAGGTCTAGTTAACACAAATTTCATTTGTGAAAATCAGCTTTAATAATGAATTAAATTGTTTGTATGTTGGAGGTTGACTTTAAAAAGTGGGCAAAAATCCATACCCCAAACAAAATAGTTATCCCCTTTCAATGTGTCATTCTTTTAAAGTAGCTGTAATAATCATCTACAAAGTGAACATCAGCTGATATATAGTAAAGGAGAACCTGCAGTAATATGCAGATCATTTGGATTTGGGTGGTATCTGGATAGATTGAAATTCTTTAGGTTTCTCTTTTAGCTTCTGCCTTCGCTCCTACTTTGGCTGAAAGTTCTGGGACTTCCCCTCACTCTCCTAATTCAAAGCTCATCATGTCAATATGTATCTTACCCATGCCATCTTTGCCTCTATGTCAGCTCAGTTACCCATCTATTGTCTTTCCTTCCAGTCTTCATAATAGTCCCAGTCATTTTGAGATCCTTAGGTGGCAAGGTTCAGATATGCAAGATTGCACAATATTTCAGCAAGAAAAGGTTGTTGGCTAGTTAATTCATGAATTAGCTCAATAAATTAAATTCAACAAATACTTATTAAGTGCTTGATATATGCCAAGGTACTGGGATGACATTGAATCCTTTTGATCATAACTTAAATTTTCGGAGGGGAAAATAAATTAAAATTAAAATTGGAATGGATTTTCTTAACACTATTGATAACTGAAAGTAATTTGAAGAAGTAATCATAGTCATGCCACTTGTTGATATAAATACTAGTTTCTTTTCAACTTAAAAGTAGTCTCTTCCAAATTAATAAAAAAAAATTGATTAAAAACATACCCCTTGCATTTTATCCTCTTCAGTTCAGCTGTATAGTAGATAACACTTGAAATGGATTTGATGGTCTGTCTTTATAAGAAAAGAAGCAGGGTATTAGCGACTCTCTTTAACAGCATAATTAAACTTGACTATGCTATGTGAGTAGTCCAAAAAGATATTAAAATTCAAAAGTTAATAATATTTTATAGTTGCTATATAAAAGAAGGTATAAACAGTCCTGGTTTATTTTCCTACACTTTAAATGCTTTTTCTTAAGTGAGGGTGAAGTTGCTTTAAGATGAGTAAAATCTATCATTGCTTTCTTTGATTAGCTGAAGTTCAGTTAGTCAAAACCTCCAATTAATTTTTTCTGTCCTTTATGAAAAGCAAAAGTGGCACATGATAATTTGTTTATCTTAAAAATCAATATCTAATCTGTAGTCAATACAGTTCTTTCTAGACCGGTCTAACCTCCTATATATGCAGTGTTACAGTGGATATTGAGAGTTGTAATCATAATATTTCATTTTTGTTATTAATTTATTTTTACAAATTATTTATAAACATCAGAAGCAAGACCAATCTAATGTCTTCAGAATTGTTTAAATTTTTAAAAAGAATTGCAGGGGGCAAAAATATTTATAATAACTTTTCAATTGCTTCCTCTTTTCCCCCTTCTAGTTTGTTTGTCCATTCACTTTTATATTTGTTTATATATTTTTCTTTTTATATTGTAATGAATATATTATATTTTAGTTATTCTTTGCTGAGCATTTTCACTATTTTCTGTATTTCTACATGTTCTTCTGTATATTCATGATTTTCTAGCTCACCTGAAATTTTAACTTACTGTCTTAAAGATTCAATGCCTATTACAGTATTATGATGTATAGCAAACCCTTAATAAATGCTTGCTAAATTTATTAAGTCATTTGGAAATTCAGTACACTAAATTTGTGTATCACTTTCATGCTTTTCTCATTTCCAGTCCTTAGACATTGTAAAGTCATTTGCCATCAAAGGAAGATTCAGTTGGATTTAGTATACTGTGGCAATAACTAAGGCAGTAAGATACACTATTAGGATTGAAAAATCTTTTTAAAATGAGTGATTTGAAACAAAAGTGTCCTCTGCTTGACTCTTTTAACCAGAAAATTTGGTAAACTAGAATCCATTTCTCTTTGTATCCTCATTAATCAATATTTTATCCACATTTATTTTACTGCTTTAATTTTAGCTCTACTAGTTGGAAACATAGATCTTACAGTTAGAAAAGAGAGTGAAGGAATCTATTCTAATTTTCCTTCTACCCAGTACCAGAATCTCTTCAGTAACATTTCTGCCTTAATTACTATTAGCATAGTACATAATTGTACTTATGTAATTGATTTTTTTGGAACCTGATTTTAGAACTTTACCACTTGCCCCTTCGAGAATTTCATGTTACTGTTTTTAGCCCATCTTTTTAACCTACTGCACTAATTATTAATCTTGATTCCGTCACCTGTCCTATTAGTTGTCCCTCTCAGCTTTGTTTCACTGGCATACCCTTTGTGTCTTCATGCATATAGTTAATAAAAATGTTGAATAGGACAGGCTGAAGTATATAGTCCCCACAAGTTGACAAGGATCCGCTAACTAGATCTAGTTTTTCTACTTCTTATAAATTCAGCCAGCCCACAAGAGTTCATGAGAGATTTCAGTTTTCAGTAATGCACACTACAGATATACTATACCTTTGGCATTCTCATGATCTGTTATTCTAGTAACTACCAAAAAACACAATGCGATTAGTTGCCATGATTTCTTATTGAAAAGATCTTGCAATTTTTATATGAGGCAGATCTTGTAGGGTCTAAAAGGGTAATGAAAACTTAGTTTTGAAGTCTTAAGTTACAGAAAAAATTATCTTTATGCTTAGAATGCTAAATTTCTATTTGATTTAGAGTTGTGTTACTGTTCTGATGATGCTAGGGTGTTATAACCCTATATTTGTAGTATTTAAGGGTCTTAAGTTTTATTTTATCCTTTAAATATCCCATTTTAAAAATTGCATTGAAAATATAAATGTAGCCTGTTCATTTTCTCTCTCTCCTATTTTTTTCTTATCTCCCAGCTAGCAGAGCTGAGACTTCTTACAACTCAAGACAATTTTAAAAACAGAAGTTATCCATTCAATATTAAGTGTTTTGAATAGTCCTCCAAAATGCCTAAGTAATTAGTTTCTTTTTTTAAAAAATGGAATATATATGGCCCATGATTATTAGAAATAATTAACTTCCACACTTTTTAAACGTATGTGCTCTTTAGTTGGGATTACAGTATTTCAGGCATACATTTTTGAGAAATATTTTTATAGAGAACATGATCTTTTAGAATAGCAGTTATGTTCCTTGTTCTGCCATATTACACATAAAGCACAAGGTATTACATTATTCTGAGGAGGGTTAAGGGAAGAGCAGTATGTAGAGTTTTGAGATGAAAATTTGAATGGTTTTTTCTTGTAACTAGTCTTCTTAAGTGATGAAAATATTGACAAAAACCCCCCAAAAAGTAATTAATTTGGGTTATTATTCTCATCTATAACCAGACAGAAAAACTGAACAGATATTAATTGCATAAGAAAATTAAATTATGTTAGTAGAAAACAGTTTGGCCCCATTTGTAAGGCACTTTTTTGTATGTTGTGAAAACCTTGCCTCTTGAGTTCATGTCTTGTACATATAAAACCTAACCTGTGCATGACATTTTTTCTTTCAATTTACAATGAGCGCCATGTTTTACAGAACATTAGTTGAGTGGGGAAGGCCTGGGCAGATACATTATGTGTTTTTTGTATTCTTCCTTAGATCTCCTGTTCCAATAGTCCAACAGTAACATCAAGCTCTGGTAGCAGTAGTTCCTTGTCTCCTATTGGACCCCTTTGTAGGCAAAGATCATTAGCAAATGGTGGTTTATGTTCAGAATCTACCACATCAGGCGTTTCTTCACCAACTTCTAGCTATCCAAAAGCACCAGGTTTTGAACGAGAGGATCAGGTATGTCAATAAAAAGAACATTGACAATAAGTGAAGAAGACATGTTTGCTACTTTTTATTTTTTACTTATAATAATGGCTTCCATTTGATAACTTGCAAAGTAATCAAACTTGATTTCAGTCTGTTGGTGTTCAAGTAAGTCTTGGTGGTGGTGTTAAAAAAGCTTAGCCTTGGGACCCTATACAACTTTTCAAAATAAAAATTGAAATTTGCTTTTAGAAACAGTTTCATATATAAATACTGAAATGTCCTTCAGATTAGTACAGTAAACTCATTTATATCAGTGATAAACTTGAAAAGATAATGGTATAGATGAGCATTTGACCTTGGGTCACATAACCTTTGTCTTTGTATAGTTTTGAGTTGTGGTCCTCTATAATTGGGTCCCTGAAAGACACTAGCATTGCATGCTGTTCTTCATAGAAGTTACTCTAGTTATTTCCAAGGTCTATTTTATGTTACTGAGCAAGGGATTTGTTATAATATCCTGAGGTTCTTGATTTTTTATGTTATGGATCCCTTTGGCAGTCTGATGAGGCCTCTAAACCCCCTCTCAGAATAATGTTCTCGGGTGTATAAAATAAAATGCAGAAGGTTACAAAGAAAACCAGTTATATTAAAATACAGTTATCAAAATATTTTTTTAAGAAAGAAAGAAAAAGTTTATGAACTTTCAGTCAGGAACCCCCATACTAAGACTCTTGGTTTTATTGCACATTTCCATCTTTGTATTATCTCTGTATGATAAGTATTTACTCTCAACCCTTCTGTTGGCTTTTCTTCCAATCCTCAGAATGGTCTCAGTCATTTAGAGATCTATCTAGGTAGCAGGGTCCAGATATTTAAGATTCTACTCTATATCTGCATTCTCCTGCAAAATGTACAATTCATATTTTCCTATAGTACTACTATTAAGGAAAAAATGTACAAAGTCTTGAAAAATAGTTAAGGCTACACATATAATAAAAACAAAAGTTTACTCATGTTACCACAGTACATGTATTATTTAGCTTTGGAAAATATTGCCTGTGACATGAAAGGTAGTAAATTTTAGTTGACCTTTTTTTTTTTTGGGAAGAGAGGAGAGGAGATATTCTGTTATATGGAAAGTTTCATACCTGAATTCCTATTTTTTTCCTATTTAAAAGGAGGAGAGAAAAGCAGTAGACATAATATCCACTGAGTAATGATTTTTGAGATACCTGAATGTCACAGTGTATGCAGTGGTGATGCTTGTTAGAAACAGTGTAAGACTGTTGTCATAGAACTAATGTTAATTAAAGACGTACAATTGTCTCACCTAAACAGTAACACAACTGTAAACTTTAAGTATAAATCCAATGCAGAGCTGCTTCACTGAACACTTAAAAGTATGAGTATTTTTATAGCTTATTTCAGATTAGTTTATTTACTATTTGTGATTTAGGGCAAATGTTAATGATCTTTTTCAATCATAGAAGATAGAACTACCTTTCAAATGATTGCAAAAGGTTATTAAGTGTACCTAACTAAAAGTCCATTGAAGATTTTAAAGTATTACTTTTTATGACTGGAAGTAACTTGGAAGTTCTATCCTAGCCCATTCTTCAGCAAGGTTAAATGTATTTTCCTACTTTCTCAATTCTCCAAAGTTGGAGAGATTGGGTGAGGAAATAGGTATAGTACTAATTAGTTACTATTGCTAGCTAGTTAGCCTTACCTTAGGTGGAGTTAAGAAATTTAAATCCAGTGTGCTAATAATAAAAGATATGGCCAATAGTCATGATATTAAAAGCTGTGAAAATAAGAATAAAGGTCTTTTTAGGTAGTGCCTGAAGAAATATTTTGGTTTAATGTAGCTAAAACATCATTTTGATGATAGAATTTTATATCATTTTTGAGGTCATTTTTAGAGGATAGTAGAAGTGAATTTGTAATAGCTACTTACTATAAGAATGATGTTCTAAGTAACATCCATTCCCAGTCATTTTGAGATGAGTTCTACTTGCCATCTTGGAAAAAGTTGTAGCTAAAATTGTTTTTCTTACATTCTTGAAAACCTTTGCTACTCAAGAATACTCCAGTGAAAACTGGAGTTTCAGAATTTCCATAAAATTTAATTCAGTTTTTAAAGAACTAACAGTTTTGCCATGTAATAATAAGATTTAAGGGAATAGAACTTCACGATGACCCCTCACTGTCCCTTGTTTTGTCTTCTGCTCGGTGAATATCGACTTTTCCCACAGAAGAGAAATTAAAGCATATAGTTTGCTATCAGTTACAAAGATGACCTCTCCTTTTTCTTTAGCTAGGAGATTTTAGGAACATGTGTGGAAAGAGCATAATTTAGAATACTCTTAGCTATTCTTAGTCACTTAGAATAATCATTATAAAAAAAGAATAATTAATTAGTTCATAATTTGGCATATGATGGGAGAGTCAGATTAATAGATTTGATGAAGAACTTTTGACTGTTCAAATTGGTCACCATCTTTATTTAAAACTGAATACTAGGGGTCAGTGGCACTATTGGACTTTATTTCTGACTATTGCACAAGTACAACTGCACAAATTCGTGAATCTTTGGAAACCCCATCCTCTCTACCGACACATTTTTTTTTTCCCCACTATATGCCCTACATGAACATGATGTATGTGTGTGTCTGCGTGTCTGTCTGTGTGTGTGTGTGTCCATGTGTGTCCGTGTCCTTCGGTGTTTAGTGTGGTGCTTTCAAATCAGTTCAGTCACTATTTATTTACTATGTATAAGTTACAATTCTAGGTATTGGCGGTACAAAGATAAATATTTCACAGACTCTGCCCTTGAGGAACTAGTAGTTTTATGAGAAGAAGGAAAAGTACATAAGTAACTATTAGGCAAGGGAAAAATAACTTTCACTTGCCATATATATTTGACATTTGTATAGATAGATACTAAAGGTGTTATCTCCATTTTATAGATGATGAAACAGAGGCCTTGAGACATTTTGTGACATTCCAAGGATTACACAGCTATTAAATATTAGCAGTGGGATTGAAAGAATCATTGATTTGGAGCTGAAAGGGATTTGAGAGGTCATCTAGGTCAACTTCCTCATTTTACATAAAAGGAAACTTAGACCCTAGAAGTAAAGTGACTTGCTCAGGTCACATAAGGTAGTTAGTGTCAGGGCAGGAAGCTATACTCATATCCCATGACTCCACCTGCACTATGTAGTCCCTTCCAGTACTGAGGCCTGATTCATTCCAAGTCCAGCACTTAGTTACCCTTCTCTGCCACCTCTCATGTACTGCCTTATAGATTGTAAGCATTTCATAATGAGTGAATAAATGCAAGAAGCTTAAGTGGAATGACTTTATCACTCTATACGCAGTACTCGTGAAAGGTTGATGCAGAAATAGATTAAAAAAAAGAAATCAGGATGTTTTCTCCATGTTGCTGAAGGGAATGAATGATCATGTTAACAAAATTGTTACTATGGCTATTGAAACATCTTCCAGTGAATACACTATTGTGTGCTTGGAGAGGATGTAGATCTTGTTTTAGTAATAAGAACTAGCATGATCTGAATCTGCTTATTTTTTTTCAAGTCAGTTTATAAATCCAGCTGTACAGAAAGACCAAAGGTCTCACCAAGCCCAGTTCACTTTTCCACCTACTCTACCACTATCCTGAGTGGATAGAGGCACACAAGGAACGTACACCTTTGCATACATCCATTTTACAAAACTAGGAAAGGAAGAAGCAAACGGGGGGAGGGATGCACAAAAGTAACGTTAGTTAACAGGCAGAGACACTAGAAGCAAACCAAAACACAACACAAAATTTAATGATATGGCTGTATCAATTACTTTTCATGGTTTTTTCTTGGGGGCAGGGAAGAAGGAGAATATAGGTCTTCTTCAGGCATACCAGACCAGATAAAAGATAAAAGTAGGATGGCAGAATTCTCCGTAAAGTACTGTTCCACTTAAATGTTCATTTTTATGGCAAAACAGTTGGTTCTAGGCATATAATTATATGCATGAGTACTATATTTCTGTAGACTCTATAGTTCCTATATTGATATTTTCCTTCATAGGAGGAGCAAGATGGTGGCTAGATCTCTACTTGGAGTAATTGCTAACTAGTATGTCTTTTAGAACACCTCCCATACTATCTTCCTAAATTTTGATTCTTTTGAAATTGTTTTCACGGAATTTCACAGATACAGGTTGTTCATTCTTTCTCTCCTAGTTATCTCTCTAACTTAACTATCCAGCATCATTCTGTGGGAGTATTGTGGTATATATCCATGTGACAGTGAAGTGGAAATATTTGAATTTAAGAAGACTGATGTATAGACCTAAATAATTTTCCTGGCTTAGCTGTTTATTATTATTTTGTACATTCAAAACTCAACTTGGGTCAGGAGTTATTATAAGTATACTTGAAGTCAATATCATTAATTCTCTTTTACAACTTAAGTATTTCTGTGTTTCAGGCGAAACAGAGAAATTTGCCTACTGAAAATAACCAGAAAATAAGTGAACAAGACAATAAACAGGTACAGTCAATGAGACCAGTATTTTAAATTTGTTATCTTTGTGAGTAAAGTAAGCTACTTTTATTTTCCTAAAAGTATTGAAGATGCTCTAGATTTTCCTTTATTATTCATCCTGCAACTTTGTAAACCCTCTATCAGTTTGTTTTGTGTAGTGCTTTTGTTGTTGTAGGCTTCCTATAAGAGACTTTTTGGTGTTAAGTAGGGTTTTCATGTTTTGATGAGGTTTATACTTTGGAAATAGTAAAAACAGGCTTTAAACACAAAGAAAAACATCTCTTATGAAATGAAACATTCTATAGAAATCTGTCAACTTTCCTAGCCAGTCTCAAATGATTGCACATTGTATTCTTTATCTCTGACTACTTCGGCAGTGTGCAAACTCTCTTAACTTATTTCCCTCTCTCAAGTCAATGGGACAAAATATAAATCACAAGTGGATTTTTTTCAGAATTTTTCTAAGTTCCATAAACACCCTTTGTCATATTTGTCATTAGTTTCTAGTGTCTTAGTGAACCTCTTTTTCTTAGTAAGTATAAAGAAACGTGTATACTTTAGGGTTTCTGTAGTAGGTTCTTGTAGAACTGATACCTGTCAGGGATATTGGCATTTAGAAGCAATATATTTTCTGCCTCTTGGCTAAAGAGGTCAGTTAATGATTTTATTATTCTTTGTTATGGAAAAAGCCAAAAGAAAACCAACTCAACCAGTCAGCTATGGAGACTCAGGTGTAGCTCATAATAGATGCCTCAGGTTCTTCTCTCCCTACCTTGCTCCTCATTCTTCCTGTCATCAAACCTATGAGGATAGCCGCTTAGAACTTTTCCTTTAAACAGATGTCGCGAAATTTTTTCTGTTCAGGGACACTGACTCAGAAAAAAATCAGCAAAGGGGATGTAAGAGAAGAAAACTAAACTACAAATCAGGTCTGTTATATAGGAGTGGGCTTTTTTTTTTTTTCTAAAGAGAGATATATAAAACATTAAAATTCAGTTTTTAAAATTAAGAACAAGGAATAATGGCTTAAATACAACATATTTTAATATTTGTCAGGTCTACATATATCTGATTGATAGAGCTCGAGGAAGGAAAAAGGGGGGAGAGTGAAAAAATATATAGAAGGAGGAGATACACAGAAGTAGAGAGAAGTTCTAAAGTGGTTAAATTAATTTTGTCACATCTTGCTTTTCATGTAGGTTGATGATTATGAGAATTATTGCCTAGTTATTGTATTTTGGAGTGTCAGTTAGAGGATTAGCCCCTCTTTACAACTCTGCAGCTGGTAATTATCCTTAGATGTTTAGGAGCACTGTTTTGAATGGGCTAGTCATAGTAGGACATGAGGAAATTTATTTCCTGGACCACAGTTACAGTGGCCCAAGTAACAGCACACCCTTGGACTGGATGAGACTGAACTGAAGACTGGATCGAACCTGTGAATCAGAGGTTCTCCATTCCTCTCCTAAGGGAAGAAGCACAGGGAACATTAAAGAACACTAAATTTCTGGATGGCAGAGACAGAAAGACTTGCTGAATAGTTTTTGATGGTTTGATTGGCCTCATTTTAGTCCAGCTATTAGAGACTTTCAGCTCATTTTTTCTATCATCTTTTTTCTGTCCTGAAAATGTGATAATGGATTCTCATATAGGCTTCTATCTGAGATCCTGGGTATTATCACAATATGGTGATGTCACCAAGGGCATATTGGTTCACTTTAAAATTTCTGCTTTCTGGAAGCCTCAGCCAGATGGCTTTGTTTTAGAGGAGGCCTAGGAACTTCTCTTCAGACCCTTCTGCTTCTAAGGTCATTAGATAGTTTGTTTACCTGTTACCAAAAGAAAGATTGGGGCTTCTTGGATGAAATAGCCTTTCTTTTATAGCTGACCCTTTAGTGGGTAATAATTGCTTCATTTTATCATTGTTATGTTGTAGGCTAGGGTTTTCTCAATGGCTTCCTCCAGAGTGACTTTGTTTTCATTCTAGGGCAAGCTAGTTTCAGTTACATTTGTTACAGCTGGGACTGCAAAAGACAGGGCTCTGAATGATCAAACCCCAATCATGATAATAAACAATAATTCTGTTAATAATTAATATGATGGTTCCTCTGTACTTCTCCATAGTTGAAGTTTGGTTGTGTGACTGCATTGGGACAAAAAGATAGACATTCACTGCACTGTTGCCCAAATTTAAGATTACTTTTCATTCATCCTTGTATTTCCACCTTTGAACTTGTAATGAGCATTCGATACCTTTTAAAATTGGTGAGCTTGTTTAAGTGAAAAAAGAAGTAAGGTATTGTTTGGGGCTGCTTTCAGGTTAGTTCTTAACTCTTTTCTTCTTTATAGCTGAAAGGAGGCTCCTTTCTAGTTTGAGACAATACTAGATGGATTACATTAATTCTTCAATGAGAGAAGTAGTCTTAGCACACTCAGGCAGTGCTACTGAATTATTGCTGTGGTCACCTTTTGAGAAGAAATTAGAACATTTATTCTTCAAAGTTTTTGTACCTTTGTTGAATTATCACAAATTTTTCCAGGATTCCCACCGTATTCTTAGAATAAAGTCAGTCTCCCCTCTTATTAGTTGTGAAGAAACCCATCGGTTAAGAAGAATTGAACAATTTTTCTATTAAACAAAACAGGCACAAACATAAATCTCCTGATATTACACATGTCTTAGGGTATTAGACCTGTGTTTCCTTTGCAGGTTAGCATCCATAACTTGTCATTTGCTGAGATTGTCCAGATTTTGTAGAAGTAGATAGGCGGACTCCATATTTAATTCATTAGTAGTGATATAGTAAAATATATCTTCAAAGACGTGCACTTGAATACTGTTGGTTACTTATAAGGTAAGGTACCACTTTAGTGCCTTGGAGAGGGGCATCTCTTGCCCAGTAATGCTTGTATATTTGAAGGTGAACTCTCTGGCACTATACCATGCAATCAGAGTCTTTCCACATTTTCTATGTAGATATAACAGGATTAGGAAATAGATGATTTATGATTGGAGAGGAAGCATCATTGTTTGCTGTTGAAGGCATAAGGAGCAATATGTTAGAGGGATTTGAAAGACTATAGCTTGGGCAAGAAAATGCACTTGAATTCTACCCTATCAAATAGTCTTTATTAATGGAACTAGACCAGGTAATGGTTGACTTAGTGAGTCTAAATTGGCTCAATTTACTAACTTACTTGGGGTTTTGTCTTTTTTTTTTTCCCTCACCGAGAGGGATTCCACAATTTCTTTATAGACCATTCTTTGGAGGGGAATTTGGTATCATTATATTAATTAAATGAGGTTGATGGTAAACTTGAGGAAGTCATCAAGAAATGAGATGGGTAATTGAACTCTTACTGAGAATAAGAAATATTGGTTGACCAGGAAAACATACCTTTTGAAACTTAGAGCTGTAAAATGTGGAGTTTAAGACACTTGTTGATAGTCTCCTTTGAAGGAAAGCTAATGAATTGTATCTAATTGGGCAACCTGCCCATTGGTCAATTTCCTGAAAGGTCATGTCCTACTCTATCTTACATAGTCTTTCTAAGCAAGTAATAATTCATTTTAATTCATAGCTATTCATACCACTTCTCTACAATTTATTCATTTTAATTCTTGGTTAAGCTTGCGCCCCTCATTTTCAGTTGGGGTATGCCCCTTCCTCTACTCCTGCCTTAGTTTGCTCAGTAAACTTTTATTGAACACCTGCAATGTGAAAAGCCCTCTTCGAGGCACTAAGTACTTGGTTTTTTTTTATTATTTAGCATTATGTGCAGGTTCTAACTTACAGAAATCTCTCTGACACAAGAGCAAACATGGGAAGTGGCTGCAGGTACTTCCTACTTATACCTTAAGTCTCCTCTGTATATTGACCCTGAACTTCCAGCTCTTCAGACCTTTGGATCAGCCTTAGTCAAAATCTAACCATTTTGAGTAATCAGGAGTCAGCCTAGTATCAGGGAACACTGACTCAGTCAAAAGCATATTTTCTCCTTTTGAAAGACAAATAGTATGCATGCGTGTAAAATGAGACGGTTGAACTAGATAACCTCAAAGACCTCTTACAAATCTGACATTATAGGATTCTTTGAGCATTAAGAAGATATTCTGCTTAGTTGTAAAGCCCATGGTTAAAGATAGTGTTTTTAAGGCAAGAAAGTTGTTTCCTAAATTATTAGCACTTAGAAAATGATTATAAGCCTCCAGTAGCCTTGTATTTTTGGCCTTGTGAGGAAGTCTTCACAATGGTGGTGCTTTCATTTATATAGCCTCTCTCTGCTTTTAAGTGGAAGCCTTCACTTAGCCATCTTCTTGGAACAGAATGATAAATAATCAGGAAATGACTGTTGAGCATTAGCCATTTAACTGAGTTTTGCAAGTGCTGGGTAGTGATATCTGTAAATAAAGCTCTCCCAGTTTTTTGCATTTCTTTCTGGAGCGTAAGATTTCGGGAAGACAACTTAGTCATAGTATTAGAGCGGTTCTTAATATTCTAAGAGGAATCATACACTTTCTGATTTGTTGAGCATTTACATAATGTCTGTTGTAGGTATTTCACATTATGACATAGGATTATTTATCCTGCATATGCCTGTATGCACACACACATACACACAAACATACCCTTGTCACAGTTCAGAGTTAACAAGTTGAAGAATTGATATGTAAGCTATAGTGTCAGGACTAGAATATGTTATAACTGTCTTTTTAACACATGCCATGGATTTTCATGGGACGTGGGTATTGGAGGCAAGGAGAAGAGTGATGAAATATCTCTCTCCCACTCTCCACCTGAGTCCTATATATCTCATGGTCTGAAAGGAAGGACAGGAAAGGGATCAGTATTGAGTTTTAGAAAATGTTATTAATTTACCTAGATGGAATCTTTTCATTTCACCCTTCCCATCCATGTTAGGTATAACTTTTTTATTAGCTTCAGCTAATTATTTTAGATTTCATGGATATATAGTTTATTTAAAATTAGTGTTTGTTTTTTCCTTTCATAGACTGTTAATGATATCAGCAACAAAATTATTACCTTAGAGAACTATTTTGATCAAGTGAATAAATTGAAAGTGACACAGGGAAAGTGATTTTTATTTAAATATTTATAGATAGGGAACCATATGGTGATAGACATGTTGTTTTAGAGACAGAAACTATATTCTTTGCTTTATAGAGAACTATTTCTGACTTAGTAAAAATCTAATTCTTTTATAGGCGTACATTTTCTATTACTACTTTCCAGAGTAGTACTTTTTTGGTTTTGAAAGTTTCCTTCTCTTTTCAGCTATGTGTGAGAGAAGCTCCATTTTTTAATCCCCATTTTCTTTTCATTGAAATTGTGCTGGTACATACCCATTATTAGGTAGTAAGTTTTGCCTTGGCCCTTTCTCACTTATTAAAGATAATTGAATTTGTCCAGATTTTCACTTTCCTCAGGTAGTTGAAGAATGAACTTTTCTTAATTCCCTTTGGGAAAAGGAGGAAAATAATATAATCATTCTCAGAAGTTATAGATGATTTACTATACACTCATATATACACACAACAGAAGTAGCCATCCAAACACAAATTTCCAAGAGGTTGGATAGAACTTTGGATTTTTTTCCTTTTTTTTTTTTTTTGATCAGGAAGGGATGAAGCTATGATGGGGAGCATTATCTTTTGTGTCTTAAGATATATGTAGACAAGTGTACAGGAAAATACTTGAAAGCTTATTCAGTCAATCTTCCCAACCTGGCTGCCACATCTTTCTTCACCAGCTGAATCCACTGTGTTTGTTTATGCTGGCATGTTCCTGTTTCTTAAAAGTAATTTTTTATGGAAAGTCAGATTGTGTCTGTCAAATCTGGAAGGTCACACTTTCTGGATGTATTTGGTAATGCATTTTAGCAATAAGTAGCTTCTGATTTTGGTTGTCATATTTGTCATAATTTAATTGGAATTTTTAAAAATATAATTTGGAACGATTGGAAAAGTTAACTTTTCTTGGTCCTTTGGTTTGGAACAGAATACACACAAACACATGAAATCCATAATACATCCAAAATTTGCATAATTATCCCACATCCTCTCCCAATTAATTGTATTTAATGTCACTTTAATATTTTTCTGTCAAAAATACATTTGCTTATTTTATTTATATATTTTTAAACAGAACCACCTCAGTGTGTTTGCAGTGGTTAACCCACTTGCTTCAAGTATAACCTCCAGTATAACTTCTAGTCTGGCTTCCAGTATTGGATCAGGTAGTTCATCCCCTACAACTCTATCAGCTATCAATGCCAAAGCTCTCCCGTTCTACCCTCCGAGTAATACAGTTGAATCAGTAATAGGTAAGTCTAAGTGTTTCCTCTTTTTTTTCTTTTTGCATTTATGTTATAGCTTTTCAGGATTATTCTCTTTTGATAAATATTCTGGAAATGCTCACTGAAAAATAATTTGCATTTTTTACATCTGTCGATTTTAATCACATGCAGTTAAAAGCAGTACCTGGCTTAACCTCACCATAAGGTTAAAAAATGTATTTCTATCACCATTTAGTCCTTTTTAAATCTTCCCTCTAATATAATCCCCTCCTAACTATAAGGGCCATATTAGACAATAGATGAGAAAACTCATAACTGCTAAGTTTATGTGATTTCAGTGTAGTTCATTTGTGATCATAAATCTTACAAGTATCAAACTGACCTGTATAAGATCAACTGAAGGTGATCTCTTTGGCCTGATGGAGAGGGTTTCATTGTATAGTAAGGAGTATTTTGTCATTTCCAGCATTGGCGAGTTCTCTGGTCCCAGATTTTCACTGGGGTAGGGAAAGGATAGTAGGATAGGAAAAGAAGTGAGACTGGCTAAACATCAGATTAAATTCCAGGAGTTAACCTTACAGAGACTGGTCTTGACTCTCCCTTGGCCACACAGACACAGCTCGTGTGTGCCGATAACAATGTTCAGTTTATCTCATTCCTCTTTTAACTTGTCCTGAGTGTTTTCTTGTCTAAGATTTGAAAAATAGAATCACCACCCTGCATCTGTATGAGTACGTCTAGCAGTAGAACTGAGCCTGGTGGCAGGTCGGTTTTGGTTTTTGTTTTTGTTTTCTTACAAGGAAGAAACTGTAGTTGAGACATTTACTGTCCACAGGTATAGAATTAAAAGTTGAACCTTTTCATACCTTGGAGATGTGGAAACTGAACAGTTCTATCTAGTAGTAATAGTATACCCTCTTATTTGTACACCACTTTACAATTTAAAGAGCCCTTCAGCTCATACAGTCCTAACAGCAGTCTGATATTGCCTTGATTTTTACAAAGGAGGAAGCTGAACATCAGAGATTAGGTGATATGCCCAGTAAGTGGCAGAGCCAAAACTAGGACCAAGTTCTCTTTGATCCCAGCTTAGTTCTTTCCATTGTAAAATTACATTTCCCTACTTAAACCAGTCTGTTTAGATTAAGAGATATCCTGGTGAACCATTAATTCAACTAACACGTTTTTAGGTACCTACTCTGTGCAAAGCATTGTTCTAGTTGCCAGAAGTGTGAAGAAAATTAAGACAAAATAGTTATACTATTTTCTAGAGTATTCTGATTGGTTTAAAATGGCCTTGAATATATAGAATAATTACCAGTTCACAGAAATTTTCATAAACTTTTCCCTTCTGAAGTATACAGATAATAGATTATTTTAAAATAGCTCTTTTGTTGAATGTATTTTACCCATTGTGGGTCAGTGACTTTTTGAAAGACTAGTTGAATAGAATGTCAGAAATGTGTCTACAGTATTCAGTTTTTTCATCATTACTTACTCTTAGATGGAAGAGGACATTGACATTCTAATAACATGCTTTCTTCTAATGTAGTGTCAGATTGTTTAGAACGTGCTTTTGTATATGTTTTGTAAGTTCTTTATGAAGTATTTCACCATGCTTTACTTTTAAGAGTTTTTGCTGAAATGTTTGGGTATAATTAGTTTAAAATAATTATTTTCCTTGGCTTATTCTGGTTTTATTTTTAAAATATGTATTATCAAGAAGTACAGGTTTTATTTGGGGAGGGATCATGGAGAGATATCTTTAAATATTTGTCTTTGTTTCCATGGTCACCTGACTCTTTGCTAGTTAAGTCTTTGTATGGAAAATTGTACTCAAACTATCCTACTTCCTTTTGACCCTCTATTGTTAAGGAAAATCAAACATGTTGTAACTACTTGTGAAAATGCCTCTGAGAAGAATAATAGCACATTGAATTTCTCTATTAAGACTTAGAACCTTCTTACATATACTATTCTCATTCTCATGGGAAAGTTGAAAATTCCATGTTTTTCAATAAGTATTGTTGCTTAAAGTCAAAATTTTAAGCAAATGGCAGCTTGTCTTTGTCATTTGTACTTGAAATTTAGAAGGAAAGGACAGTACTTTTTTTCTTTTTTTTCTTTTCTAAGACAGTTGGGGTTAAGTGACTTGCCCAGGGTCACACAGCTAGTAAGTGTTAAGTGTTTGGTCTGAGACTGGATTTGAACTCGGGTCCTCTTGACTTCAGGGCCGGTGCTGTATCCACTGCGCCACCTAGCTGCCCCTGACAGTACTTATTAAAGAACTTATTGGCCTCTTTATATGAAGATTCACTCTTTATAGAAAATGGTAATCTTAAATGGGGGACTGTCATGTGAAAATCTTTGATCTTAATAATTCTGTCCCATCTTGAGGACTCTTGTAGGACAGAACATTTGCATAGAGTACATCTAAAAAGAAGCAGATTACTGACCTGGGAAAATTTGCATTTGTCACTTGGAATTGTTGACTTTGTTCTCTGGAAGTCAGGACAAAGCCCGTATTTGGGAATGTATTAACACTGTGTTTTCAGTAGGTCCATATTTCATTTACATAAACATCTTGCATAGAGTTTCCTTTGACAACTAATTTAATTGCAAAATAGAACTAGACTTGTACCAATTTTACAGCTTGTGTGAAGTAAAAGTTCACTTCATACTTCATATTATAACTGGTTTGTTATTTAAGTTGGCTACTTTTTCAGTAAAGTTTTCATTCAAAAGTACAAGAATGATTCACCATCTCCCCCATACATATAAAACTAAATACACAAAAAAACTAATGCTATACATTGACTAGTTGAGTTCATAGAATTTTAAATCATATGATTATAGGTTTAGAGCTGGAAGGGGCCATCAAGTCCAACTTCCTCAATTTGTAGATTAGGTTAGTGAGGCTCAGAGAGGTTGTATGATTGGCCCATGTCAGTTCTCATTCTTTCTCTTATAATCCTACCCATTCTTCAAGGCTCAGCTGAAACTTCCTCTGTGAAACTGTTGAGGTTTAGAGGTTTAGGGGTGCTGGGACCCCAAAATCACAATGAAGAGGTTTATCTTTGCCCCTTTTCCCTTCGCCCCTTTTTGTCAAAAGGAATTTGGCTCCTTTGTTTACAATTCCCAGAAAAACCTTAAAACTTTTAGATTCTCTCTTTGAAATCTTATTCAAATGCACTTTCCTTCCTGGCTTCAGTTTGTCTACTGGTCCCAGGAATACCTTAAAGTTTTAGAAACTTCCTTATTTCCCTTTAAAAGCCCTTTGAAAGCTAACTTCCCCTTCCAGCTCCCTTCATTATCTATTCTCATTGTCTGTTCAAATCTCTTAGACCTTCCAAAGGGAACTCCCACCTGGGCCCTTTTTCTTTATCACCTCCCCTCTTCAACTGGCCTTGCATTGTGGCTACACCCAATATCTCTTCCATTGTTTTACCTTCCTATGGCCTTTGGTCACTTCTCACCCTTAATCCTAGCTAGGGCCACAAGGTCCAGGACTCAGGAGCTCTGTTCACCCCAGCTTACTAGCCACTCCCATCCAGATCTCCTTAGACCCCTCCTCCCATCACTCCAAACTGCCTGGCCACTCCTAGACCCCTCCCCTAGTCTTTCTGTACTTAAGACTCATCTTTGCCCCATTCTGATGCTGAGCTGTTCTCAAGCCTAGAGGCTGAGGCTCTTGCCCGCCAGTCACGTGGCCTATCCACCCCAGCCCCCACTCAGACGCTAGCTTTCTTCATGCCCAAGAGGCTGAGGCTACCTCATGCTCGCTCATCCTTAGAGCGCGTCACCTGACCGCCTTAGCTCCCATTTAGATCATTGATGTTTGGGTTCCTTGGGAGTCTGGCCTATATGCTTTATCTTTAATAAACTTTTTCTCTGGCTGGAAGAAGATCCGAGTTGAATTTATTCGGGCAGATTCAGCGCCGCGATCTGGGCTTTTTCCCGTGATCTTGGGGTACCTCTGTGCATCTAGGAGTACCCCAAAACCCCCCCACCTCTTCAACAATACAGGGGTCCTGCCCAAATAAATTCAACCCAAGCCATCTTTCAGCCAAAGACAAGGTTTATTAAAAATTACCCATATTAGCTAGACTCTTAAGTCATCTAAACGTGTGACTCTCGTAAAGACGAGTGGGCATGAGGAAGTCTTAGCCCCTAAATGGCAGCCAGGGTGGATCTTATATACAAAAAGACTGTGGGAGGGATGTAGGAGTGGCCAAATAGTTTGGGGTAACTGGAGGAGGGGTGTGGGAGAAGGAGTATCTTTATGGGAGTGGCCAGTAAACTGGAGTGGCTGGAGGAAGGGTCTAGGGAGGATCTTGATGGGAGTGACTGAGAGGTTGAATGGGATCTAGATAGGATCTAGGATGGGAAGTGGCTGGGAGCCTAGGAGGTGAGACAATAAATCACTGGGCTCAATTAGGGTAGCAAAGAACTGGGAGATTGGGTATTGGCTATAAGGACAGGCCAGTTGATAGGACTATATTTTCAGGCAACCACCACAGTGTTCCAGGAAGGTTCAAGGAGGGATTTTTGGGGCCCACACCCCATCATTCCCCCTTCAAACAAATGGGACCCAAATTCTTTTGGAGTAAGGGGCAAAGGCCTCAGTTTAGGCCTATACCCTGTCAAAACCTTCCTTTATTCCTCCTGAAAGTTCATTCATCCTCTCCTTTGAACTCCTGTAGCACTACATCTCCTTGATGATGAGGATCATATCTTTTATTTTGTATATCCTCAATATCCAGTGCACCTTTGTACATACCGGCAGTTAAAAATTGGAATTGACTCCACTTTATCTTTTTCTTTGCTAATCATTACTTGGTTTTAGAGCCAATTCTAGCTCAAACAGTTTTACTTGATCACTGAGTTTTGTCTTTTAACAGGCTTAGATAAATAGACATTCTTATAAAAACTACTTAAAGGTAAATTTTGCTCAGGAACTAGTGTTGTCTTAGAAAAATAACTTTTTTCTTCCTTCATCTCCCCAATAGTAGTAAATTTAACAATTC